GGCGCGACACACACACACACACACACACACACACACACACACACACACACACGTATACAAAGATATACACAGTATCTATCGCGAGCTGCTGCGTCGTGATAGGTCGACTCGTTCTTCTGTAAATCTGCGCTCGATGATCGAGAGAGCCTCGGTCGAGGGAACCGAGGTCGCGCGACGAATCCCGCGAATGCTGCGTCGTTTTATATGCGATATTACGAAGACTATACCACCTGTCCCCGTTCCCCCGCGACATTACACGTCAGCTAGACGGACAAAACACATTACTACGAGCCACCAATCATCATCCACACGCCACCATCTCCACACTCTGAGACACGTACACACGCGCGCACACACACTCGAAAAATCCGGTAAACCACCTATCGTTAGACCGTAAGTCCTAGAATCTAAGGCGATCCATTTAGATTATTATCTGTTGTCTATATGTGTATAGAAGAAATCGCGCGAAGACGGCCCCGCCTTTTGTTGTTCACGATTTCGGAGCGCGCGATGGAAAGAGATGACGAGGTGTGATCGGGGAATACAATAGATGGGCGTTTTGAATGGGATGTTTTTTGCGTACGCGTGTTTCGTTTCGGAGAAACGGGAATGGTGAATACACATACACTCGTAAATAATGGAATGATGAAAGTATCTCTTTCGTTGTTGTTAAAAAAAGGCGTTTGCGAATTTGGAAGAATGCCGTATTGTTTCTCTGTACAGTAAAAGATACAGTTACTATAAATATAACTCTACGTATATATATATATATTACAAACGCAAACAGTAATCGGAGGGGACACAGATTTGGCGTTCTAGTTTTCCGAAATATATACGCGATGGAATTATTCATAAATATTTATAACAGCCGTTTCTCCAAAAAGAAGCGCGCGCGCGCGCGCATGGATTAAACTAGGAGGAAACCGATGTGAAATCTTGTTAGTATTCAGTACACACCCGCGATGCTGGGCGTACGAAGGGCAGATCATAAAAATTTGACAACGGCGACGATGACGACGATGTCCGTTTGGGCTGTAACGGGTATATGTTCTGCGCGAAGTTGGACGCGTACGTAGTGTGTTCTCTCTGAGTAAAAAACGCGAAGAATGATATTAGCAATATTTCTCTCTTGCCGGCGAGTCGCACCTTGCGTGGCAAGTTTTATTGCCAAGTGGCGACAGATAAATATTGTCCTTGGCTTCTTGTTAAGGCGGAGCGCGCGCGCGACGCATCGGTGCATAATCATGCAATACGTGCATGAGGAAATCGCACGCAAGAGAGGAGAGAGAGAGAGAGAGAGAGAGAGAGAGAGAGAGAGAGAGAGAGAGAGAGAGAGAGAGAGAGAGAGAGAGAGAGAGAGAGAGAGAGAGAGAGAGAGAGAGAACGAACGACTGCTTTTAATAACATCGTCGTCGATATTTTTCTTCGAGGTTTCTTACAAACCGCATTCGAGGGAAAAGGCCTGCCACTCGCAAATGTTCGTTCATGTTTCATCCGATTGCGTGCGATGTTTGTCGATGCTGTTGTATGTCGACGTATTTTCGGTTGTATTTGACGTCGCTGCATGAATGCGCTGTACGAGTGCATCGGAGTGTAGCGGGAAAAGTGAAACACGCCAGGGACTGAATCAAGTCGAGCGACTACGTCGCAAGCCTATTTTAAGATCTAAGTCGTAAAAGCGATCTTATTTCTGCGTATAAGCGGCCTTTCTTATCGATAGACTTAACGAACACGCCCCGAGTCGCCGAGCAAATTTGAATGAAAGGATCAAGGGAGAGAGAAGTCACATGCGTCGCGTCCTACGCACTGCACTTAGGTTCGTTTTCAAGTAGTTGTCGCTTCTGCTACGAGTGTTTTCGCAGAAATTTCCTCTGTTCGATTTAAGTGTGTGATTTCGCTATTGTCAATCTTGATTACGTGTGTCAGCATAGCTTTACAGCGCGTTTTTGTGCAATCCCGTAAAAGATATGCAGCTCTTATGACGCATCCATGTTCTCGAATGACAAACAGCGCGACGATCGTAAAATTTTGTTGTAAAAAAAAAAATGGAGAGATAATATAGTACGCGTTTGTTATGCACGATCTCTTCGTGAGGAGTGACGGCTTTAGGTCCGGAAAGATTCAAGTGTTCTCGATGTATCGGATAGCAAAACGGCGTCTGCTGACGATCTAGCCGCGGGATTTGTTACGAACAATTTTTCTGGTGACGCATCGGCGGAAGTGACCTAATTTATTTACCGTTCTCTGACGTCTAAGAAATTTGTTAAGATATGTATGCGAATATCACGGTCGAGAGAAGTGAGAATTGATGAATAAACAAACGAGAGAAAGAGAACGATGTACAGTTGTGTTTTTGAAAAAAAAAAAAAACAATTCCGTTGTAAAGATACTCTCGAATCCTCTTCACCTGTTGACCGCTTGAAAGTCGCGTATGTAAAAAAAAAGAACCAAAAAAATTTTGTTTAAGCATTATTGTTCTAAAATATTTGCGATTTTTATTTGTATTTACCGAATGTTTGGGAAATTGAGAATGAAGAATGGCAAATATTGAAGAAAACAACCGCGGCAAATATTAAACAAAGAGGCATTGAAGGACTTATAAAAAAAATGAGAAATGTGAAAAAATTGATGGAAATAAAATGTATAATAATGAGATGGCCGATCGACAAGATCCTTCGATTATCGAAAGTTTGAATTCTGATTTATTGTAAGAAGTGCATCTTGATTTATTTTTTTTTTTTTGTGAAACAATTACATATAGTTTGCCATGAATAGCGTTCGAAGCAAAATTTCATTTAAGGGCTCTAGAGAGAGACAGTAAAAGAAATATTACCGAATAAGCACGCGCCGGATCGTCAAAATGCGTTTGTTTCACGCTGCCCAGGCAGCATTTTCTCGGATGATTTTCCCGATCGCCCGTCCAACGTGATCGCTTCAGAAATCGTGCTTTCCGCCTGATCTGATCTCTGACGAAGACAGAGGGAGAGACTCGAAAACAGCCGAAATGGTGGAGTTCAATGAGCGCGGTTTAATGATTCCCCCCCGATTGATTTTTTCTTTTTTTTTTTGCCCCGTTTTTTCCATTTGCATTCCCCATGTCGGCCGTCGATCGTTTTTTGATTCTCTCACCCTCCTGCTTCTCCTTTATGTATTTATTTCACTCATCGTCGATTGACGTTAATAACGTATTGTGATAATGCAACGATATAACACACTCGTACACACACGTACACACATACACACATACACACACGTATACACACCGAAACTTGGCTCCGCTTCGTCATAATAGACTGATCAACCAAGTCGACCTATCAGCGTCGCTCATAGTGCTGTGTTGCACTGACTCGAATCACACTGTTTGGAGGAATCAATAAA